TTTCTTCTTGCCTTTTGTTTGAAAAGGGGCAGGAGGGGAGGCGAAAAGGCAGGGATCCAACTTCAATGTATACATGCTTAACTATGCTGTTGATTTCCATACCCCATTTCTCTTTGACACTCTGTTGTCACTGTGAGCTCACACTAACTGTCCTTTTGCAAACGGCAGCCCTGGAGAGGCGCACACACACAAATCTGTTAAGCAGGAGACAAGGACCACACATTCAACAAAGGACATTGCCAAAGGCTCTCTGTGCAAGACATTTTGTTTCGTTTCTTTACCTGTGATGACAACTTGGTGGGTCAGATTAAAAAAGGAAAGGAAAGAACAGGTGTCTATTTCTCTCCCAATTTTCAGAAAAGCAAATTCAACATTATAGAGAAAAGTAAGCATGACAGAACAAACAAGTAAATTCTGTATCCTGATACCTGTTTCTCTATTGTTTTGTTCTTTGGCATTAAGCAAGTCAGCAACTATTTTTCTTCTGAAAGATAATATTAATTCCACATCAACATAGAAAGATAGGAAAAGGAGAAAATACAAAAATTTATGAGTATATGAAACAGTAATGTAATGAACAGTACTATGGCAAAACTAAAAGTGTTTTATTAAAGACCCTAGATAATGCTTATAAAAAGCCCATTATTCTTCCAGCAAATTAATATTCTATGTCTTACTAACAATATCAGCAAATGAGCTGTTTTATTTAAATTAATATTCATAAAATCAACTAATTAAGTAGTCCTAAGTTACATTATTAAGGACATATGTAAACAGAGCCCGTGATAATTTTTGAGACTAGCCAAGTAAATCATATGGGATTTGTTGTATGATCTTGGCTGGGTCTTCAAATCAACAGATCGTGTTCAGTCAAAAAATAATTCCAACAAAAAGCTTAAGTAATCCAGGTATAAACCAAAACAGTTTAGTAGGGCTGATGAGTTTAAATTCACAAAAAGAAAAAAATTAGTTTGTATTAAATAGAATTTCTTCTTCCCCTTAGATCCCTATTCTTTGTCTCCAAAATGATAATTTCAGCATAGCTTAGAAGTCAGACAATTTTTTAATTTTTTTTTTCTTTTTTTTTAAGAAGTGTCCTTTTCCCTAATCAATAAATCTTCACAGAAATGTTAAGGTTGTTTTTGCTTCTTCATTTATGCAACACCATCAAATTTAGATGAAAAAAATCTTTAATGGTGATAACAAGAAAAGCTAAAGACCATAACATAATTTCTTTGGGCTTTGAAATAACAGTAGTATTTGTTTCTTAATAATCTCATTATTATCATTTTTTTCCTAAGACATCTATCATGACAGTACTGGGGCATCTTACAAAAGATATTTTCCTGTTTCTTAAATTAAATCATATTTGGGACCTAAATTATTAATAGGTGCTTGAAAATACGCCAGAAAAAAAAAGAAAAGCCAGAAGCTTTTCTCTTAACAGCTCCTAGCAGAAGTGGAAGAAGGGGCAGTGCAAGTAGCCTAAGAGCATAACACGGTATATGCTGCTTATCCCCTATTCTGAAAATGCAAATGAAACAACAAAAATAAGAACACTGAAGTTGCAAGTCAAACACTCCAAAGGCAATGCCACAATTTAGGCTGCTGCTAGAAGCACCATTCAGTCACCCGGTATGTAGCCATCATGATCTGGGAATGCAGAAGCAGAGAAGACAAATACTAAGCGCAGATGCTGAGGAAGACATGGAGGTAGGCTACACATGGTGAGCCTTCTCACGTGAGCTTAGTCCCACACTCAAAGTTTGGAGGGTGCTAGAATACACTGACAAGACACACCCCTGCCTTCATCAGCTGTCCATCATCCGACTGATCCCAGGCCACCCACCTCCATCCCGGCTCTTCCTTAACCCCGACTGCTTATCCAAAACACTTTTGAACTTGTCAGTCATAGGCTTTGCTTCTTTCACATCAGCCATGCCAAGCTCAACCTCCTTTTCCAAGTCTTTCCTTCCAGTCACATTCTATAGTTCTCACTTCCCCAGTACAGCTTCCACTTACATTTTCCCCTCTACCTCCTGCTACATCTTCTCTTTCAGAAGATTGATTTTTTCCTCCACTTTCCCATCCTGATAGCTAGAAGGTGCTTTCATTGTGGAGGGCATCAAAAGAATGGGAGCATCTGTTACTGGATTCTCCAGTTTGGCCCAATTGGATGGATTTTAGTAAGAACAGCAAAAGATGTCATCACTGTGTGTATTTGGCAACCCTGAAAACAGACTGGCCTATTTATGATTCACAGTGTGCTCATTAGAGTTGTCCTCCGTTAAGTGCATGCCCTAGTAAGAACTACTCAAATTTCAAAGTTTCAACTGCAACAGAAGGATAGAATGGACTTTTAAGTTTGCATGACATTTACCCAGAGAGAACCAACCAATTCCAAAGCAAATGTAAGCTTAGGCTGCAGACAAATATTCTTCTTTCAATACTGGTAAGTTACTCAAAGTTTTGCAGTGAGATCACTATATACCACCTACTCCCCTACCCTCTAAAGCTTTTATCATAGCTCATCAGCAATGAATTCAAATGGATGGGTCCACATAGCTTCTCAAACAAAAAAATCAACTCCAACAAAATGAGAAAAATCTGCCTCTAAAGTAGCGATTTCAAGCACACAAAGCATCTTTACTGCAAGATTCTTATTAATAAAAAACACAAACAACAAAACACACGTTGCTTTAAAAAAAAAAACAAAACACCGCACTCCCCATGCTATTGAAATTAAACCTTTACCAGGTTAAAATTACACTTCACTAGATAGCTGCAGTTATACCAGAAGCACCCATTTATTATTGTAGGGTAATTTTAAATACTGGGCTAGATAAAGTAATTTTACAGAGAATAAATTAGCTTTGGGGGAGGGAAAAAAAAGCAAGTAAAATTGATTTTACCAGATTTGAAGACTTTTTCTTATGGCATTATATATCCCTGATATCTTATTTGCAAACAAACTCTGTATATTTCAGAAGAACTTGAAGAATATCAAGTTGCTGTACTTTAAAATAGCCCAGAATCTGTATTCACCTTTGGCAAGTAATTTCTATCATTTCTTATCTCTGCAACAAGCTTTAACATAAAAAATTAACTCATCAGAGGTATGTTGAGAGTCTTGAATCATTCATGTATGATAGCCAACTATTGCAGTAGTTAAAATTATATTGTTTTAAATTATAACCTTGTTTTATATTTCTAGGTTTTACAGAGTTTTATGAAGTGTAAAATTGCATGTATTAACCTTCTGCCATGCCTACCAGAATTCTAGAAAAGTATTCATGCTTGTGCAATCTATTTCTAGAAAAGGAAAAAAAAAACAAAAATACAACCCCCAAAAAACCCCAACAAAAACACCCCACAAAAAAAACCCAAGCAAGCATATCTACTTCCCAGTAGCAAAATAAACCTTAGATGAATTAGTGAAAGTTTTATGTGCATAAATTAAAAAATATTAATCAGGAACCTACATCCCACGCACATTCATGCGCTGACTGAATACACAAGACATAATATACAACAAAATATTGACTTCGGTGAAATCAATGTAAATGCACTGTAGTCACATCTAGTGGCTCTTAAATACATCAGATTTAATATTTTCCAGGAACTGTTCCATGCCCAGCAAAGCTTATTGATGTGTATATTATTTTGTACAAACAGACCAAATTCTTCCTATCAATATAAGTGCCACTGTGCTACAAGGGATCGTATGGGTCATCAAGGGCAATCCACTGCTGACAGAGCCAACATATCAGTGAATTCCTTTCATAAGCCAACCAGGCTTCATCATAAAAAAAGCTTTTTTTTTGTTAAGCCTTCCAGTGCTAAACTGTGAAATAAAATTGCTCAAATTTTCAAGAACCCTCCTCTAACTTCATGTTTAAGTTTGTGGACTGTTTATCTCCATTTATTTCTGTTCCAACACTGGCCTATAGCTTGAAGAGTCCCTTTTTGTCTCAGCATTGTCTCTCCCCCTTTCACCTTACTACCATCACTACCTACTTCTAAAAGGCCAGTCACTATTCACAAGCATATGCACACACTTTAGTCTCTTCTCAAAAAATAGCTTCTCCAGACCACCCATCGTCTTTAGTAGCCCTTCTCCATAATTTTTGTCACTAACTTCACTTTTCACTTGAAAAAGGGATGACTCGGGACTGAAAACAGTATAGTGCACCAGGTTTCATCAACTTTTTTTAAAATAGCATTAGTATCCTCCCTACTTGAAATACAGCTCTTGATGGATCACACATACTATTTGCTTCTGCTGTAGCTGCAGCACTGTCTCTTCCATATCCCACTGTAGTCAACCATTAGCCTTGTGAGGAATTAAGCAGTAACACATCAATATCAAATATTTGGAAGAGAAGTGAACAAGAAAATCTTGTAAAAGTCTATCACACCACACTGAAGGAAAATTCTAATTCCTACAACACTGACTTTGCATGTGATATTCCAGGACTGGGACAAAGCATATGCAGTTTAACAAAAATGGAAGTCACAGCCTACAAGAAAAGAGAATCAGCTAACTTTATACAAAAACAAACACAGAAAAGCTACACCAAGAAAAAGCATGAACTGGCTAAACCTCCCAGTACATATACACAGTTTAAATGCCTTCAGTGTAAGTTGTCTTGCTCTGGACACAGAGATCACTGGAATACCATGCAACTTTCTAACCTCAGTTACAACAACCTAACAGGATTAAATATAAATCTATACCCATATTTTAATGCATAAATTCCTTATTGTCGTTTTTAGTTGACAAATATCTATTTCATAGCAAAACAACATCATAGGAACAGCTGGATGGCAGTTTTAAGCTCAAATGAACCAGCATCACATGCTGACAAGTCATCTCTCTGATTGCTTTTGAATGGCAGCACATGCAGATTTATTCTCTGCCATAAATTAGAACAATTATTTCTCTGTAGTTCACTTTTTATTTCAGACAGTGAGCCCCTGCACATATTTTTAAAGGATATCTTCCCTTTCCTTGATGATAAGTTCATTCTGTTCCTCTAGCTGTCTGATCTTCTTCTCAAATGACTCCTGTTCAGCTTTCAGCCGTTCTTCTGTCACCTCCTTTTCTTCACTTACCCTGAAAAGAATTTGAGAGAAATAAAATACATGCCCATAACCACAGTGCCTGACTTCCAACTCCTCCACTTCCCAGGCAAATGGATATCACCTTCTCCACCCTTAAACAGGTTAGTTCTTCATAATGTTTATTTTATTATATTACAGTAGAAGATGCATATGACTTTATGCAATACATTATTTTTTCGAAGACACTGGTCTCACTAGAGTACACGCACATTAATGTACAGCATGGAACAACAAAGTAAGGACCTGAACCCACAATGAGATTTGTGCAGTCCGATTCCCTGCAGCCATAATGAAGACACACTGGGATCCTTACAAACCTAGGGCATGTAGACAGACAACTCAAATGGGAGAGCTTAGCTGCGGAGACAGGAAGGAAATTGAAAAACTTTTCTGTTTCTTAATCTATAAACTAATCCTTCTTTCACATTTACTCGTCAAATAGAAGTCCAGGAAAGGAAACATTTTTCTTGTTAGTTTTCTCCAAACAAAACAGCTTGTTCTCTTCTGGGGATTTTAAAATATCAAGCCGCAGGAGTAAATTTTCCTTTCTGTCTGGGCCACGGCACCCTGTATCTTGCTGCTCAGTGTAAATAATTGGATCAAGATTAAAAGATGACAATGTGAGAAAGGCTTACAATGATCATTTATTATGCACCTCAAGAGCAGGCTGTAAAAACAATTATTCTGGTATCACGTAGGCAAGAAGACCATTAAGCACAGATGATCCTGTAACTATGCTAAAAAACATGGCTTAGAAATCATGGTTCTATAAAAGCTCTACAAAAATATTAAGTAATGAGCTTAGACTAATAAATATTATTGCTCTGCACTTAGGCAATTTCTGTTGCTGAAGGCTCTTAAAGTTCAGTCTTTTATGATGATGAAACAGCTGCCACAACACAGGTGACAGGAGACCAAAGCAATACAACTTTCAGAAAACTTCAATTGTAACTTCCTTTAAGTGGAACAATCCTATAGGAAGAGGAAAGGGCGGGGCAGGGAGGGGAAATACTTATATATGTACACCTAGGCATTGGACTAAGCCTTCCACTCGTTCCATCAGACTCACTGACGTACTTAACAGAGAACTCCATTCAGGAACTGAACCATCCCTTTGACGTCATGACATTTCCCTTAAGAGGGCATGGATTTGTTCAGATATTCCAGTGGAAAAAATATAAATATCACAATCGGGTCACCCCCCTGGGGTGAACTGCAGACAGGCAGTATTCCCCAACTCTAAGATCAACCCACAGCCCACAACAGCCTGAGTAGACTGCACGAAGTTGGAAATAACAACACTGAAACTCGCATCTTTTCTCTACAAACCTGGAGGGAGAAAAATAAGATATAGCACATAACCAAATTCTGTAAATTAGAGCAGTTTCAAAGTTTGGAACAAACAATTAGCTGGGAAGTTTTTAAATTACACACACAAAAAAAAAGACATGGATTTAGCACAAAAACATTCCACTATTCATATGCCTATGGTCTCATTTATAATCCTGTCCCCAGCAGTGTTTAATTCCTACCCCTTCCACTCAAAGGCTGTCAAAAGGGGTGTGCACACATCAGAAAAGAATTAAAAGGGAACCAACTGCATTAACTCAGGACTCACCCCAACACCTATCATAGTTAAGCAGGCAACAATCTTTTGCAAACTATCTACCATACATCCTTATTCCCCAATGAAGTTACAACTATGGTACATATGCCACAGGCTGCAGACCCAGGCTTTTGCATCTAACCACCACTAGTTTGTTTTCTCTGAATCTAGAGCAATCAGGTAAGCCACTACAGCATACATGACCGTCCTTCACATAATCAGGGAAAGATGCAAGATGCTTCCTGTTTCTCAAGATAATAGAGAATAAACCCCAACAATTAGAAAAAGATAGTGAAGACAGCAATGACCATGTAGATGGAAGACAGGAAGGAAACAAGAACTGGGGAGGGGGAAGGTCAGAAGGGGAAGAGAGGGCAAGTACCATCTCCAGGGCACCATACAAGGAAGAAAGCTTGCTTACTAACACAGGAGGGACACTGCATTAAAAAAAGGTTCAGGACAACTGAAACACTGGGCTGTGCTGGAATCTAAGAATATTAAAATCAAACAACAGTATAAGAAAATAACATAAGCTAAGAAAGGCCAGAGTGCTAAAGAAATTAGGCTAAACCTAGCAGGTTTTACCCATCTCTAGATTCTGTGATTTGCTGCTTGTATCAGTCTGCATCACATTCACGTGCTGTGTTTGTATTTAACACAGATCACAGCAAGCTGTCATACTCCCAGACACTTGAATATATTGTGCCACATATGCAGTAAATGACTGAGAACAGTAAGTGATCTTAGAAGAAACGTGGCATTATGTGTTTATGTATCACAAAGCAGAAGACAGCCCATAAAGGGCAGGCGAGATACAGAAGACAGTTACTCACAGGAGGTGGCAAAAGGAAGTTAGAGAAAAGGAATACAAGAATGTCATCGGATTGTGCTGGGTTTATGTCACATCATATATATATAGCTCAGTGAGATTTTTTTATATACTTATTTCTTTGCCTTCTGGCAGTAAGGAACAGATGATTTTTAGCAGAACTAGGAAGGACTTCACTGATGCCAAACAAATATTACAAGGCTCATAATGCTCCTCAAAAGGATTTTCACCCACTTTTCATCCACTCGTGGTCAGAAAAGAGCAGTGAAAAAATGAAGGCACCACAATTATAACAGGCACAACTTCTCCTTTGGGCAACACACTAGGTTCCAGCTCCATTACTGTTGTTTCCAGGACCAAATAGAGGACTGACAGCTGAGAGCAAAGGTGACAAATCAGTAGAACATGCTGTTCACTGTCTGCAACACTTCCTTGCGTGCAATTTACATTCTCCTACCTTGTGCCACAGGATACACACCACCTTTGTTCAAAATTCGTTTTAAATTCGACGCTCCAAAGCTTGTGTAATTCTAGACACATCTAAATACAGATTTTAATTTTATTTTACAGGAGCCTCTGTAGGAAAAGAAAAATTCCTAATGCAGATATATTGACAAAAATCCCTCCTAGGACATCAGCCTTAGGGTTCAAATTAATTTCTAATTCACTAGTTCCAATTACTATGGTGTGCTCCCAAGACCGCTGCTGATACTAGTACTTCTGACTGTCTGATCTGAAGAAGGACTTGATCAACACATTTGCTGATGGCACTGACTCATTCCACTGAGTAAGCAGGATTGATGCTCTCCAGGTGGAATTTTTGAAGCACTGCACAGGTCAACAGCACTTCAAGTTTTATTTGTCTAATGAAAAACTGTCATGCAGAAGAAAGAGCCATGATAATACTCACATCAACACTACACTAGCAACAAAACTCAAAAGAACTCTTCCTGACTGAAGACACTTAGAATCTTTACAAAAGAAAAGAGCTGAAAAAGAAAATTAAAAAGTGTTTTCTAATTTTTAAAAATGTTAGAAAAAAAAATTATCTTTTACCAAGAGAAATCTGAATGCTTTAAGAACTGTGACTGAGCAAGTTAAGACAGAAGACAAAATAAACAAAAAGGAGACACACAGACACTGGAAACTTCACTGATCAGTCCTATACTCATTGGGAACATTTATCTTTTAGGGAATACTCACCTGATATTAGTCTGCCAACTAGCTAGCAAAGATGAAGTATTTTGATGACCATTCTCAAAAAACACAGGTTTTACACTCAAAGCAAAGAATGGCATCTGGGACCAGCAAGACCATGGGGGAGGAAAAGTGGAGTAAGGTCCAAGAGCATTACGCACAGTCCAGCACATGAAGGATCCTTGGAATAAAATCAGGTATTCCAAGTGAAAGATGCACACCAAAAAGATGAAACAAGAAGTTTTCATGCCAGAGCTGATCACAACACGCCTCTGGCAGAACTGAGCAAAGTGACTTTTAACACCAGCACTGCAGGAAGAGAGAATGGCAGCATTTTTTGTCTACGGACACTGTTCACAAATCTGACACATTTTACTCAAGTACCATGGGCAATTTATATAAATTAAAAAAATTAACAAAAAACCCAAATGATCCCAAAACATACTTGAAATTGCCACACATGGGATAAATTTTATGATATGCAACTTGCAAAATAATAGAAAACTAGATCTCACAGCATGAATTTATAGCTACAAATGACTTTTTAATCGCAAAAGGTACGTGTTATTGGTGATACAATAATCCTAAGCATGCTTTACCTATCAACAAGAAGTAATTTCCAGACAAGCTTACGGATATCTCATTTGCAGTCTCACTGCTGGACCAATTAAGAGAACTGCAGCACAATTTTGTCTCATAAAGCAGCACACACACAAAAAAAAAAAAAAAAAAAAAGAAGAAAAGCTCTTGACATTGAAGTTAAAGCCAGGTAACAATTTGGTTAAATATGAGGTAGTGTAACCCAGGAGAGAAGACAACCCAAGAGGCCAAACACTGCAGATTTGTAATACGGCCTTCCACAGGCAAGTTGTCCTTCAAAGATCCTAAGTGCTGGAAGAAAAACACTTAAACAGCAGATATACGCTACAATAGTTTTACTGTCCTCCTTTGTAATGGTTTCCAGTTCTGTAACCAAATTAACCTTCTGTTCTGATTCCCATTTTCACCTTTTGTTGGAAAAATTTCAATTTTAGTTGGTCAATTTCACCTTCATGCCAGGATAAAAAGTCCACATAGAGCAACACCAGAAGAGACTAGCACCCCAGACTGCCAGCACCCTACAAAGGATTTTGGAATCCAAGGCCTTGGGAAGGAGGAAGCACTTCCTCAATAAGGATCAAAGGGCCGTCTGAAGGATGTTTTACTAGCTGCTGGGTACGTGTCATTCTGGGCATGCCAGTTGTCTTTGCCAGAAAGACACTAATCTGATAGCAAAACCCATCTTGTATCTCATTTGAAAAAGGCAATCACTCCCTCCCTTGGGTGGATAAGGGCATTATGATACCTTTCCACCTAAATTGCTTTTGAAGATTTGTTTGCAAAGGCAAACATGGAGAAATCTGGCTCCCTGTTATCTTAACTGAAGAAAAGAAGAATACAAAGTAGTTAGTTAGCAATTCTCACCACTAAAAGCAAAACTTAAACTTTCATGAACCATCCTATGTCACTTAGTCAATACCTCTGTTCATTCAAAAGCAAATTGTGAGCTGTACGGGCATATGTGAACTGTGCAGGCAGGGAAGGAGTATTTATGATGTACACATCATAGTAGGAGCCAGAAAGTCACAGTACTATGGCTATATATCAGTTAGTAGTGAGGTGAATGCTTGCGAGCATGCACTTGCTCTCTCTGCAAAAAAAAGCTATGACCCTCTCCATTCAGCCAAATGCAGAGACAGAGAGAGCTTTCAAAATCTGCATTATCACTTAAAATATTTCACTCCAGAATACTTTGTAACCATTCTCAGTGTGGTGTCCAGCAAATCCCTAAGGCTCAACAGCCAACTGACGAGGTCCCAGAGGACTTTTGCGCTGCTCCCTATTGGAAGAGGCTAATGTGTCCTGACATTGGCGCAGAGTATGAGGGTAGGAATCTTTCAGCGTCGTCACCATGTCACTGCTCATTTCATTACATAAGCTGATGAGTGCTTCAGGAGCAGCCTGCAGTAATGAAAGCTCGGAGAAAATCTTTTTTTGCCTCTTAAAAGGACTCTGCTTGTAGGGAGAGCTAAAATTTGCTCTTACTGTGTCTGGCACTTTCACCACCACGCCAGCAGCACCTTGCTGAAAACATGAAGGTGCCATGCTGGTTGTATAACAGCTGACCACACAAGAATTTCCCATTTACTCACAATGCACTGTGGCATTCATAGGCCTGACTCATTCTACTCAGAAATTCCCCTACAAAAACATTTTGAAAAGACTCTGCTGACACAATAAAAAAAAATAATCAAATTTACAACATTTGAGTCTTTCAAACTCTGGATCCAGTTTGCCTCTCTTTTTCACCTGAAGAGGGAATATAGACTGGATATGTTCAAAGAAAGGCAAAATAATGGCTGGATTTACAGGCGGCAGCACAGAGCAAAAACTAAGATTATTTTGCCTAGAGAGGAGGATTAGAAAGGATACAGCTGAGTCCTTTCTTTTGACCCTGTCTCTAAATTCAATTTCATAAAGTCCCTAACAGCTGACATGATGTCAGCCGCTGGAATCCCCAGCAGCAAAGCATTACAGCCCAGCAACTGATTTTTCTCAAAGGAAAGGAAAACAATACAGCCAGCATTAGAATTTACGCACACCAAGAGTAAAGCTTCTCCTTAAATAATTAGCATATTAACTAATGTATAGGCACACACCTTCCCAATGTTCAAAACTGCATTGGGAATGAGAATTGGAGGAAGAGAATTAAGAATAGGAAGAGAAAGAAAAGTAAGTTAGCCCTCCTTCAGCAGTTGTAAAAGTCAGGGGAAGACCAATATCCCAAACTGCTTAAGCAAGACTTGGTTGAAACTCAAGCCCCAGGAGTTAATCATATTTTGCTACTGGTTTCCACACAGACAGAATGTTACCACTTTAAAACAATCTTCATGCAGACAGTTATTGACCAATCTATTTCTGTCCACTATCCTGCAGTAAAGGTGCAAGAATTAGTCCCAACTACCATCATTTTTGTTCATAAAGAGTAGCAAAATAAAGAACAGTGAAGTATAGCTCTGGTCGAATGAGACCTTTATTATTCCAATTATTTACTGCAGGACAGTCATCCTGGAAAACTTTCAGCATTCTGCTGGTTCTTTTTCTTCTCTGAAATAGCAAAGAATGTTCTACTGCATGTAAAACCCCCCCATCATCGCACACCTAGGGATGAAAATTATGGAGAGTTTTAAAAAAGTGACGAGGTGAGCGGAATTAAAGTTCAACTTCCCTATTACTCTGCAAAGGACTTTTAATTACATCCAATAAAAATATGATTAGGTTTAAAAATAAAAGAGAACTAAGTATAAAATAATAGTGTTCCACTAATTTTACTTTTCAAAATTAATGTTGCTGCACCTTCTATTTTTCTTCGAAGAAATGTCAGGCAGAAATATCAAACTGTCCTCAGGGAAAAATCACAGCATCTGAGATTTAAGAAGAATCCCATGCTCAAATGAGTTAGCGTACTACTATTCACTAGGGAGCAGTGTATTATAAGGAACAATGTAATAAAAGGCTTTTTTAATATTAGAATATACCTCTATATATCAACAGTGGCAACAGTGTCCGAATAGCTCCAACATCTGACAATTTGTAACCACGCTTCCCAGCAATCTACTCTTTATGACAGCCTTAACTAGACATTTTCTAACACATCAGGTAGGATAAAATAGAGTTGCAAGCATGAAGAACTTCAGAAATTACTGAAATACTGTATAGCAAGAAATCCTATATTGGTACAAATTATTAGCAGGCACAATGGTTCACTGGATGAGGATAATCAGAGAGAAAATATTCCTGGCTGCACCAGAGACGTATTGCATGACCTTGAACAAGCAACTTAATTTCTCTGCCCAAATTTTCCTATATAAAAAGGACAGTAATGCTTGCCAATTATTGCACAAGCTCATGAAACCTATGGCACAAAGCATTTCATTAATACCTGAGAACTTTCATTTTGTCCTAGAAAAACTTTGCCTTTATAAATCGTTAGTATGCACACTAACTTTTAGCCCAAAGGACCCAAGATCATCTCACAAGACTTCCCCCTCTGATGTTGTGTGAAAGCCTGCCAAAGTCCCATATGCTCCTTCTCAATTTTACAGCCACTATGTAAGAGGAAGATTCCAGAGATTCTGAAATATTAGGAACACAGAGGGGGAGAAAAATCTCCTCACTCAAATTTAACCTATTGTTCACCTCATTTATCTTTGTGAATGCAGCTGGCACTGGAATGAAATCTAGAAAAAAACTTTTGCTAAAGCTGAGAAACTTGCACTATTTCTGCCTCTCCTTTGAATGAGCAGGGAGAACTTGAAGAAATTAATCAAAGCAAAAGGAAGTTTGTCTAGAAAAGTTAAAGTTACACTGGACTCTTTATTGCTCTACATGTGCAAACACGGACAAATACTGATTAACATGTTTCTACCACAAGATCACCTTTAACATGGCATTCCACACAAAAGCTTACTCCTGAAAAGTAAGCACTACAAAGTTTCATATCAAGTTTGTCATTTGCAAAAGACAACATGCATTTATTTAAATCACATGAAACAAGCAACAAACAAAACCCTATCCCTGTGACTAGGTTTATATGGATGAACTAATGCAGGTCACAAAACTTTGGCTCTTGTTTTCAATATATTCAGGGGATTTGGGGTCAGGAAGCAAGGTAAAAATGATCAGGCTGCTTCATTGTTCATACCTCCTCCAGCAAGAAAAATTACCTTATGCAAATATTCAGTTCCATAATGCAGTTCTACATTGCTTGATGTTAATTAGAGGAATGACTCTCCTTAAACGTAATGCTTTTTCAGGTGGTGCTTATTCTTACCGGGCAAGTTCTTTAATTAAGTTTGCAATGCGTCTCTTGTCCTCAGGACACAAATCCTTTAAAGAAGCACTCTTCATTCCTCCTTCATTAGTGACCTGAAAATTTAAAGTAACGTTTTAGAAAGTACTCTTTAAAGGAGAACAAATATTTCATAAGATATTAAAAGCATTCCAAGACCTAATAATTAGAAGTTAAAAGTAGACAAATTCCAACTGGAAATAAAATACATATTTTTTAAAATATAAGTACAGTTCAGTGAAACAAATTACCAAATTGTGGAGAATTCTTTTAAGAGACTTGTAATTCAAATGCAAGCTGCTAGCTTCAATATTAAACATGTTGGGTAAGTTTTAAGACATACCCTATTCACGGATTCATATTAGATAAAGGGCAGTGGTTTCTCATGACTTGGAAATCTAGTGCAGCAATATCCAAATCCAAGTTCAAACTTTAATATATTAAGATCCTAAAATAAAGATTAAGAAAAAAATCCACTCTGCCTTAGCATTTATGACCAAAGTACAGAAAACAGCAAAAAAGGTGTACAATATATTCTTAGTTGATGGTAAATCTTTACTTCAAAGGATTTTTTTAATACACAGAAAAGTACACACCCTTTCACACATCACTATCGTTTGTTTTTAATCACTTATTTACTACCTTTGTACTTACTCTCCTTCCCAAAAAGAAATCTTTAACATACTCCAGCATGTCAGTTCCTCCAACACATTCATGTATCACACGAGAACTGCAGTATTTGTCATCAATGTCCACCAGAGGGCATACTGCTGTTTGTGTTTGCAACAGTCCCTTGCATTATCGAGGTAACTGGCATTACCTATTTTGGGTGTGTCCAAGCAGGAAACAGTTCTAAATTGTTTTTATTTATCAAAAACTTCTGTAACCAGTGACTCAGCTCTCCAGTGCTAGTAATAAGCACAAAACAAGAAACCCAAGATGAAAGCAGAAATAAGAGCTATGCTATTCTGTCCAAGATTTTGGCAAATTCAAACATTTCCACTTAATCTGACTTATTTATTTTCAGTTTAGGCTTTTACAAACCTACAAATATTACAAA